GGCAGCGCAGCTTGGTAATCGATCGCGACACCAGCGCGCTTTTTCAGTCTAGCACCAAACAGTCTGGCACGCACCCCCACCATGCCCTTGTGCAAGTCTTTCTCTAGTGGAGCTTTGGACGTGCGTGCGGTAGCCGATCGTGATGCGAAGGCACCAACTGCCGCAGGGCACTTGTGCAATCCCAAGCGTGGAAGCCCTGCTGCTCGATGAGCTCCTTCCCACGCAACACTTCCACGTCATTCAGCTGCAGCATCCCAAAGCAAGTGCTGGATAATTGGCCTCTAATGACTGCTATGCAAACTTCCAAACACGCAGCTCGCTTGTTCCTTTGGCCAGCAGCGTCAATGTCGCTGACATTCAGCCGCTCTGATGCGCCATACGTGCAAGTGGGCACATGACGTTGAAGCTCAGATGCGTCCAAGTAGCAAAACTCTTCCAGCACCATCAAGGCAGTCTTGCCTTCCAGCAATCGATGCAGCGACAAAGCTAGAGCATGCGTGCGTTTTTGCTTAAGCTGTGATTGCTTCTAACACGTCTTCCGGCACTTCGATCTTATGAGATTGCTGAACAAAGCGCGACAGCCGCTGCGCTAATGCATCTTCGGCTGGATTCTCCCGCGCGCGGGCTGGCAAACGGCCGCGTTCCTCCTGAAGAAGACGAAGCCGATGAAAGACGTCTCTCCAACCTGCGCAAAGCTTTTGCATGTTCTACATGAACTACCTGTCGCAAATTCATGTTCAACAGGACAAGTGTCAGGGAAAACCTGAGGCTTGCAAGCACAATACTCCGACAACGGCGCACATGATGTGACTGAGAAGGGCTACAGTCACATGCCGCAGCAAACCTCAATCTTGAGAATCAACAGTCTGCGGCCGGAAGCTCGCGCTCCGCATCAAGCACAGCAGCGAACTCAAGCGCAAGAGCATCTGGAAGCGGCGACTGCTCCGTATGCAGCGCCAGCCGATCCAGCCGCTGCGCAATGGCGTCCTCTGCAGGCGCGGCCCGACCACGAGTAGGCAGCCGACCATGCTCTTGCAAAAAGGCACGGCAGCTGACAAGGACGCTCCGCAGGCCTGGCTGCTCAAAAAGCCACCTTGTTAAAAACAGCAAAACACCAGCAAACTGCAACACAAAGACCCGAGTCCCAAAAGCCTTCCGCTGGCAGCTCGCGCTCCGCATCCAGCACATCAGCGAACTCAAGCGCAAGAGCATCTGGATCAAAAGCCGCTCTGTTAAAAACAACAAAACACCAGCAATCTGCAATATAAAGACCCGAGTCCAAAAAGCCTTCCGCTGGCAACGCTCCGCACCCAGCACATCAGCGAACTCAAGCGCTAGAGCATCTGGAAGCGGCGACTGCTCCGTATGCAGCGCCAGCCGATCCAGCCACTGCGCCTCTGCAGGCGCGGCCCGACCACGAGTAGGCAGCCGACCATGCTCTTGCAAGAAGGCTCGGCAGCTGACAAGCACGCTCCGCAGGCCTGGCTGCTCAAAAAGCCACTCTGATAAAAACAGCAAAACACCAGCAAACTGCAACACAAAGACCCGAGTCCCAAAAGCCTTCCGCTGGCAGCTCGCGCTCCGCATCCAGCACATCAGCGAACTCAAGCGCAAGAGCATCTGGAAGCGGCGACTGCTCCGTCTGCAGCACCAGCCGATCCAGCCGCTGCGCCAGCGCGTCCTCTGCAGGCGCGGCCCGACCACGAGTAGGCAGCCGACCGTGCTCTCTTGCAAGAAGGCTCGGCAGCTGACAAGGACGCTCCGCAGGCCTGGCTGCTCGAAAAGGTCCATCGTTTGGACACACTCAACCACCACGTTGCTGTTTTAAAGCAAAACACGACTGAATACACAACATAACGTCGAGTTCAAACAACGGGATTCCAGTTGCTTGCCTGCATGCTCGGGATCTTGCTGCTCTGTCAGCATAATGCGCCGAAACTCCTCGGCCAAATCAGACGGCAGCGATGTCTTGCTGCCAGCTGCCTCAACTTCACAAGCCGTCGAGCCAGAGCATCCTCGGCAGCATCCTTGTGGTTACGCTTGGGCAAAGATCCGATTGATTCGAGGAAAGCGCGGCAATCTTGCACGGTGCGCCGAGCACCTCGTCAACAGGTACCACAATCAACTTCGATAAGAACAGACTTCCTATGAACTAAACAAGACCCTTATCTTTGATACACGGCCGAAGTCACGTTCGCATAGTTCTGCCTGTGCTAACAGAGAGCGACTATAAGAAGTCGAGACATGACGAAGCACCTCAAGAACAAATGCCACGCACAGCTAGAACACTTTGCTCGGACGGCTCCGGAAGAGCAGCAGGCAACAGTACGGCCAGATGCCGAGAGTACTCCACATCCAGTGATTACTGTTCCGCGTCTGACAATGTGTCCCAGAAGCCCTTCAACTTCGTCAAGCGCTTCGCCAAACTATCGCCACCAGCAATCTCATCCTTCCATTTGGGATATTGCCAAAACTGATGAACTTCCTGAAGCAACTGGCTCGACTTCTCCAGATTGCTCTCGCGCTTTGGCGGAAAACAGGATAGCCCAAGAACATTAGCAGTGATGCTGCTCCAGGCACGGAAAGAACCAGCAGGTGTGCGTAAAACATAACACTATACATGTGGCAATGACTCAGCGTGCGACCATGACATCCGGTGACCATAGAAACCGCAGCCGTCAAGAATATAAACGCCTTGCAGGTCTTGTTGCAAAATTGAAACCTTTCTTCCATACGCGGAAGCTACGCAAGACAATTGGAAAACACAACATTAACGCGGCCCAGCCTGCACGTGCTCTTGATACTCGGGTCCGTGAACGGGATGCCCACGCAAAGCCGTTGCCGTGGCCCACATTTCTCGCACAATCCCCTCCCAGCCTGTTGAACTGATCATGACAGCTGTCAGCAAACCCGCAAATATTTCAGCTGGCTGCATCAACAGCAAACCCATCCACCCCAGCATTGAGATCCCCGCAAACACACATGCAAACACCGAGCACGGATTGCGCGCCAACCATTTCCACGCACCGCTTTGCGTCCGCGACGCCTGCGACGAACGCGGCGCATCATGGCGACCCGCAAATTCTACTGCCCCCACCAGCTGCTTAAAACAACTATTCTGCTCGCACATTATCTGCGCATATTTCCTCTGCCCGATTCTTTGCATGCGTGACCTGCGCGCTATCATTCCATGTCTGCCCGCTCGCTACCCGTGCTGGATTTCTGTGTGGACTCGGGTTCTGTGCAGCCAGTGTCGCGAGAATGCCCAGCATGCGCCTAATCATCGCTTGTCTGCCCTATTTGCAACTCTGACAAGATTGCTCTCGGGACTCGGCGTCAAAGCCGCGAGAGTCACCTGCCTACTGGACACAAGCTTGGACCAAGCAGATGCGTTGGTTTGCAACACCCATGCAACACCTACTGACACAAGCTAGCCAACAGCTGCAATGACCTTTCAAGCGTGCGAACCCCCCAGCAGCCCAAAGACTGGATATGAGAAGGTCCTCGTCTGCTCTCCTCGACTTCTCTCCTTGCTTTTGGCGCCTAACTTTACTTGTGTACTGAACTTTCACGATTTTCGAATTGCAGCTGAAAAGATTTGCGATTTTCAAGCTGGAGCTGGAAAGTTGTACTTGAACAATACTACTATGGTACTTAACTGTTGCGATTTTCGCGCTGCAGCTGGAAAAGTGTACTTCGAATACTACCTTTACTTAACTTTTCCGATTTTCGCACTGATGCTGTAAAAATGCACTGCCAATACTGCTTTTGCAATTAACTTTCGTGGTTTCTCTCTGCGACTGCTACGAAAACGTCGCGCCTGGTTGGCAAAGCGCATTTCAGATTGCCAAAGTGCTGTGCCTGCCACGAAATCCATACCTCACGTTGTGAAAGTGCTGCGCCTGCAACGAAATCTGCACGCAAGCTCAAAAGTACAGTGCCTGCCACGAAATCTGCACGAAAAGGTTTGAAGTGCTGTGCCACGAAATCTGCACGAAAAGCTCTGAAACGCTGCGCCTGTCACGAACAAAGACGTCACAACGGCATGCAAAACGCTCAAAATGCTGCGCCTGCCACGAAATCACAATTTGACACTCTCGGGTCACATGCGCAAAACTAGCACGGGACTGTAGCGCCAGAATGATCTGCGACGCTTTCTTGCAAATTTGAAGTCGTGAAAACAAGCCGATTGCACGACACGGCCAACGAAAACAGCGCTCGAGGAAACGCTTGCGCGCGCGTTCCAAGCAAAACGCCTCAAAACGACGTCTGACATGCTGAGGGCTACGATTCCCGCACAGGGGCGCAAAAATCACACGCTTCAAGTCATCCAAACGACGTGTAAAACGCTTTCCCCAACGGCACGGCCTTACGCTCCACCGCGGACGCTTGCGGACGATTGCGGACGCTTGCGAACACAGCGACGCATCTGGCGAACACATGCTGACCCAGACCCCCTTCTATAACGGGAGCCCTTCTGCTACGCGTTCGGGAAAAACGTGGCAGTTGAAGCAGGCCAACGGTAGCAAGTAATGCCCACTTGTGAGGAAGGACTTGTCCCTGAGACTTGTGAATTGGCAGAGTCTTGCCCCCACATAGGTCTACCTTGCAACCCAGCCGGACCCCGCTGCAAACCCCACGCCTCAGGGCCTATTTAAGTCCGACCCGCAGTTGATTTTGTATTTGTGGTTGGTTGATATGCGCACGTGTGTCTACGTATTGATATATATATATATATATACATATGCTCCCCCGGTGTCACTATTTAGGCGTATGTCAAATACCTTTTCGGAATTCTGCAATTTTTGCCAAGAATGAGCAACAAGGAAGGGGGTGTACAATAGTTGCCCCCTGATTTCTGAATACCAGTCTTTTGATTTCTTAAGACAGGAAATGGGGTCCTGGATCTAGCCCAAGATTGTTGAGGCACTTCTTGGGGAAATCTTGGTTTGCCTCGCAAGCGCAATCAGACTTTGAAGCTCAGAGGAGACGTTCTCCAGGACACCAGGTTGCTCGAGTCACGCAAGGCAGGCTCCTTGGATGGGCAGCGGGTGTTGCCAAGGGCGGGTGCCCTTCGGGCGATGCGCGTTTTGCCTGCCACAAGCACGCCCCGCGCTGCCACAGGCACGCCCCACGTGACTTTAACACGATTGCGCAAAACCATAGCCCAAGTTTCATTTGACTTACACTGTCGGAAGTGTCGAGACTTGACGTTCACTAACAGAGAGCAAAACAATCAAAGGATGTATGTTGAGATACGAAATGGCCATGGCTGCACTTTTCGCAATCTTGCTGGAAATACTTGCAAAAGTATGGTTGTTGGGGCATTTGTGTTGAGACACAGACATGGGCGACTCGACCGCTAAACCAGGTCACGTTTGCAAGTTGAGACAGATCCTTTCGAATAGCCTGGGTGCAGGCCGCTGGTTAACCGTGGCATTACCATAGGCTGATTGAAGGCAAGGGGCGGTGCCAGACCGCATTGTTATAAGGGTGGCCCCGCACGCTTTTGACGGGGCTGGGTTTGGGCTGCGCTCCCATCATTGTCGCACTGTCTGCCTGCACTGGGCCAAATCGCCGGCGTCGCTGTTATCCTTCTACCCTGTGAGGGCCAAGGTGTGAAGCCTGAGGCGCGCGTGCTTGGGAATACTTCGGATGCGGTGCGGGGCGCCAGCGCACCGTCTATTGGACTGCCGCTCGCCGAGACGGCTGCCTGCGGCGAGCCCAAACCGCTTGCGCGCGCCGTCGCCTGCGCCCACGCGTGAAAGGCGTCGCGTTTGGAGTCGGCCGCGTGTGTTTTGTGCAGCGCACTGGGAATGCGCCCGGTAGGGTTGCAACACGTGTGCCAGTGGCGTTTGGTTCAGCCTGTTTCAATGAGACAACCTCCGTGAAATTGAGGACGTTGCGCTAGGCTTATCACATGGGTCCTGTCGAAGAACACATGCTGAACGTGGCCCCCTGAGATGGTTTCTTTCATCGATCAAGTTGAGGTCTTTCGGGTTGGCCGGTCTTGGCGCATGCCGGAAAATCAATCATCCTTAGCAAGATTCCCGGAACGCTTGCGTTGTTGAAGCTGCGGTTGTATTGAAGCTGGACTATTTCTTCCCAGGGCAAACTTGCCAGATTTTCCCGCCTGTCAGCTGCAAAGGCTTGAAGTTCAGTGATGACTTCATTGAACTGCGCAAGAACTGTTTTGGTGTTGTTGAGCAAACACACATACGCAAGGTCCCAACAGCCCAGGAACAGGCAGGCTTCGAGCCAGAAAGTGCTGTAAAAAGGAGCCCGACGGGTGTGTAGTGTCACTTCCGGATCCTATATAGAAAGGGAATGAGACACAGCAGCGACACCCCCGGCATCACCAGCAAAGCAAGGTAAGCGAGCCATGGGGGCTCCGAAAGGTACGCCCCAAAGGGCGTAAGCGCGGGCAAGTTTCCAGCCAAAAAGTGCTCCACACTTTACACAGCTTCCGCAAGGAGAACCGGCGCCATATTCACGCCCGCACGCTCAGCGCCGACTCCGTTGATTGAAAAGCTCACTCAACGCCATTCTGGCAAAGGCACCAGCGATGCTACAAAGCACAGCAACGCGCGCGCATCATCAGCATAAAACACTCCTTCTGCTCATTGTTTGAAATCCGCGATGACGAGTGTTTGCTGGCGGTGCTTTTCCAAGCCCGCCAACGAGTGATAAAACACCTCCGTTTCAGATGACAATGCAAGCGACTGAGCCCTCCTCGCTGGCGCGATGAGTAAGTCTTCTAAAATTGTTTTGTTTGAGCGCAACTACGGACGCAACCCCCATGGCACAGCGCAAATAAGCGCATTTTGAGCGCACGTGTGTAAGTTAGGCAAGGATGGCGTTTCCGTTGCAGACGGGCAGAGTTTCAAGCCGAGGACCAAGGAGCATTGAGCCAAATGCCTCGCGCGTGTTTTTTCAACACGGTTCGGGCCCACGTCCCGGCATGTTGAACCCGGCCGGGCCGTCTAAGGCAAGCTTCCCAGACGCTTTCCGGCCCGGAACGTCCCGCGCCCGTCCAGTTCTGCTCGGGGGGGGTAACCAGGAATATTGTCATCCTGCGCTGACGCAACTTGGCCCGTTCTGCCGTCCTGTCGATTCCTTACACCCTGCTCCGTAGTAGCTTTGCGTTGCAGAGCTGGCAACTCCGAAGATGCGTGATGATGCGTCAGTTGAGGCTGTACGCAGACGCCAGGCTTCAGTTCCAGGCGGGGTTTTGCAGTTGAGGTTTGAGATTGCGCCGTCAGCGCGTCAAAAGAAAACGTCAGTGGCGTTTTGTCATTTCAGACATGGTGGAGGACTGCTGGTTCTTGTTGGTTTTGGCCTGGCTTGCCGAACAGGAGCCTTCTTCCATGTGGGGGATGCCTGCGGGAAATGGCGTGTCAGAGGTGCGGCAGCCAGACTAGACTGGGCGGGTGTGGTGAAGTTTTGGAGTTGGCCGAGAAGAGGTCTTTCGCCAGCACGCAATATGTGTTGTTCGAAGGGGCGCAAGATCACACGAAGTATGGATGCCTGCTGTTTGAGGTCAACAGCTACAAGGCGTCGCCATGCGCCAGGCCGGAGAATTCCGGCATCCGGTCTCGCTATGAGGAGGAAACTGAAGTCTTGGATTTGATACGATTCGTAAACCAGACGCTCCATGGGCCGCACGCCCGGCCCGTTGCAGGTCCTCTGCCGCGCCTACTTTGGGCGCGCGGCCACACGTGCGCAACGCGGTGCAGGACGCTGCCGCGGCCGCTGCAACTTGGCAAGGGGAACCGCTGACAGCTGCCTTTGCACGAAAAGCTTGACTTGTCGCTGAGTAAGCGCACTAACTCCTTACTCTGCAAACGATATTGAATCGGCCTGTTGTAATTGGATAAACAAATATGTCGCGGCACGTTGCAGCGCTCATTGACTCACGCCGTGCGTAATATATAATCCAAATCAACACGCACATATTTACATACGCACACCCACACATGTAGGAAGATGTTTTCGGATATGTTCGTTGTTTTTTGTTGTTTTTTTCCGGTTTTGTTTTTGGGCTTCTTGGCTTCTTGGCTTCTTGGCTTCTTGGCTTCTTGGCTTCTGGGCTTTCTGGCTTGACTGCCTTTCGGATCTTTCATCCTGCATCCTCGGCGTTCCCAGCCCCTCTCTTGGGTTTATGTGTCTTTTCGTTGCCTTCTTGGCTTTGGCTTTTTTGCTTTTGCAGCCTTTCGTTCGTTCCTGCGGCCTTTGGCAACATCTTTGGCTTTGGCGGCATCGCCAGCTCCTCTTCAGCAATTGTGCGTGCTATCTGTGCAATCTGTGTATGTATGCGTGTCTGTATGTCTGCACGTCTTCGGACATCATGGAGGCTGAGCCCCCCCCAATCCCCGCGCCCTTTGCATCTTCAAGTATCACGGGGCGGGGGGGCTGGCCTGCCCCCCCCTCTCTTGTTTGCTTTTGTTTTTTTCGGAGGTTCACGAGCACCCTTTGCTGAATTAGCGTTTGAGCATCATTGGGGGTGGGCTGCCGCCCCCTCCTAACCCTCCGCTGCTTTTTAGATTTTTTCAGAGATGAAGGCGCCCTTTCTTGAATCGTCGCTTCTTCGAACATCTGTGTGTATATGTACAAGCCCGAGCTGGTGACGCAGAGGTGCCAGATTTGGACAACGCATCACGACCAAGTGATGAGGGTCGGCGGCGCACGGGTGCAGCCACAGACACACAGACACACAGACACACAGACACACAGACACACAGACACACAGACACACAGACACACAGACACCTACACAGACACACACACAGACACACACACAGACACACACAGACACACACAGACACACAGACACAAACACAAACACACACACAGACACAGACACACAGACACACAGACACACAGACACACAGACACACAGACACACAGACACACAGACACACAGACACACAGACACACAGACAGACACAGACAGACACAGACAGACACACACAGACACACACAGACACACACAGACACACACAGACACACACAGACACACACACAAACACACACAAACACACACAAACACACACAAACACACACAAACACACACAAACACACACAAACACACACAAACACACACACACAAACA